AAAAAATAGATCAGAAGTATTTTTATAATAGAATTCAGAGCAAATTTGCCCTGAATTCCAAACGGTTTAAGGGATAAAATTCAACCTCTATATAAGCGCAAACTCTTTATAATCACCAAATTCTTAAAACCAAGGGTGTGATTATAAAGAGGTTTGACTGTAATACTTATAAAATTCAACCTCTATATAAGCACAAACTCTTTATAATCACCAACTTCTTAAAACCAAGGGTGCGATTATAGAGAGGTTTGACTGTACATTTATGTTAATGCCCTTTTTGGTGCTAATCAGATTTGTTGCTACTATTACTGTTTAGCCACTAGCCTTTTCAAAATTGTTTCAATTCATTTTTCTTCAGTTCTTGTATCGGGATTTTCCATCTTCGTTTCTTTTTTCCTTTTACATACTGTATTTACATATTTCTCTTTTAATACGTGAATCAAAACACAATGCCTAATATTAGCTGTCTATTTTGGTTTTGATCTAATCTATTTTGGTCCCAATCTGGTGTTTATATAATCTATAATTTTAGAATTTAACGCTAACGGTCCAATTTTCAAGAGACTTTAAGATTAAACTGTATAGAACAAGTTTATTTCAGCTCCAGGCTAGTCCTATGACCGATCATGATTCAACAATCTAAGACCAGACCATCAATGCTGTGTTTTATATTAAATCATTAGGATTGAACAAGTTTCGGACTAGGTTTCTGAACTCGTCCTTAATAGTTTGAGGCTAGACTTTTTAAAGACTGGATTTAGACCGGACCGGATCAGACCTTAAACATTGCCTAGTAAGAAAAACTGATTCTAAAAAGACGACTGTCTTTGATTAATATATCGATATCGATATATATTCTTATATAAATGTTAGGATCCTGACAAATAATAATAACGATAGTGTAAAAAACTTTGGAGTAACATATTTGACAATTTTCCGGCAGTGTTTCTACTAAACAATTTATAAACCCACAGCCGGTTTATATAACGTCTAATGAAAATTTGTCCAAAGAACAACAATTTCAGATTACATAAATTACGTCGGAATTTGGTTTAATTAGATTATTAAACAACATATTTAATAACAACTATATTCCCCGAACTTTAATCCAAAGTATTAAACTTTTAACGGACAATGTTGCGTCAAAATGCTAGAACGTAGTCATAGAATATATAGGAGCCATGAGATTCTTTCTACCATTCAGATCTGCCAATTCGATCAAAAAAATGTATTCTAAAAGTTTTCCACCGCTTTTTTCCACAAGTTGTCCAGCTGCCGCGGCTGTACCTCCTATCAAACACAAATGCAAGAGGATTATAAGCGCATACCTTTACTAAATTAAAAATAATGAAATTGCACGAACCTGTAGCGATTAGATCATCCACAATAATTACATTCTGACCAGGTTTAATTGCGCCCTCTTGCATCTCAAATGTGTCCTTATCATTTGTATTATAATAAATGTAAAGTTTCATAATTAAGAAAAATAAAACAGAATATTGACCATACCACACCGTACTCCTTCTTAAAATCAGCACTCAATGTTTTTCCCGGTAACTTTCCTTTCTTTCTAGAAGGTACAAAAGCAGTATTTAACCTTAATGCAACCATTGGCCCAAATAAGAATCCTCGTGCATCAAGACCTTTTTCGCGATATATAAAAAAGCTAATTACGATGTAAAATCGATCACTCACAATAAAAAAAAAGAATCCAAAGTAGATAAAATAAATTACCAACAATAACATCAACCTTTTCTTTAATAGTTGTATTAATATGATCTACAATATGACTTACAAGCATCTCAATTGCTTTTGGGTCTTGAAAAATTGGAAAGATATCTCGAAATAAGATACCCTATTTTGAAGTAAAAAATTAGTGAATCAGCTTTTAAAATATAAATAGTCGATCAGCCTGTGAATTTACTTCTTGAGGGAAATCTGGTATGGCTTTGATAAGGCTGCGAAGATATTCTATATCTGACATTTTCCTTTTGCCAATTTTCAGTCGAAATTGATTTTGATCGAACTTTAATAATTTCCATGTATGACGAAAATTCACGTGGAAAAATTCATTTTTCTACTGAGAAAGTACGGTTACACGAACGGTATATATATTGATATTTTTGTGACGTATTGGGACGTGTTATTTGAAAATACAATTGTTTGAGATTAAGACGAAAGTTTTAAAACTTCATTAGTGTCGAAAATTAGCTCATATCCTAGTGGACCGCAGGGAGTCTTAAGTCCAGTCTAAAACTGAAAAAATTACTTTGAAAAACATAAATCATTAACATTAAAGACAAGACTGTTAACTTCTCTAATTGTCGTTATATATATTTCAATACGTATAATTTTTGTAAAAAAAAAAAATACATCAATATTAGTCATCACTTTGTTTAACACCACATGAGTGCTGCACAGCTAAAACTTGAATTCTTTTCAGAAACGGGCTGATCCGATAATCTATTTAATCATATTGAATCATGTGTAAAATGAGATTCACATAATACATACCATTTAAAGTGGTAATCATTAGGGTGATCATCAAACTAATTAAATCAAATCATAAGTAGCCGTACATATAAAATTTACTATGTAAGGATTTT